CACTCACCCAGTCTCCAGAAGAGGCGGCACACCAGGCAGATGACCAGCAGCTGCCACACCTGCTCCAGCCCCTGCTGGGCAGTGGGCAGCAGGCATCCCTCTGCCAGCTCCTGGAAGAACTCCTGTCTGCTGAACGCAGGCATGGCGACGGCCCGTCTCCCTGGCAACACAGCAACACACAGCACAGCGTCACAGAACCTCCTCTCTGCTCGCCTGCGTGCTCCCAGTCACTGTGGCTTCAACACCACGGCACATTCTTACTGGTGGAAAGCCATTTCCCAGTATTTCCCACTGGTGCCTCACTGTTCATTCTCAAGAAACCTGCTGGGTTGAATTTGTTTCGAACACTTGTCTGAGTATCTTTAGTCTTCTCTGTTCAAGACTAAAGAGACTCAGTTCCTTTAGCCTGTCAGTGTGGGACACTCCCTTAATCCCAGGAATGCATATGGTTGATCTTCTCAGAACAAAATTTAATTTAATCTAATTTCATACCGACACCAAACTTATCCTGCAGCTAGGATCACACCTTCCCCCTTCTCTTAACGACAGACTACTATTCTACTAAATTTTCTCCATTCATTGGAAATTTCATTTCACACCTCTCTACACCTATTCTGACCTCACACCTCTTGATTGGCCTCTCTCTCTGTCCCCTGCTCCCACCTCTCACTCCTCCTCCCTCCCAACCTTTGTTCTCCCACTACTTTACCTTTGCCTACTGCCCCATCTCTCTCACACCTGAAGAAGGCTCCACGGCCGAAACGTTGTGTTTTCTCTCTTCTTTTTTTCAGCATGGAATAAACCTATTACTTTTTCCTTTGCAGCCTACGCATGCTGACACAGCTACCCACCTAAAAATTTTATTTGCTACTTCTACATTGTTTTCTAATCATAGTATTTTGGTGTGACCAGCAAACTAAACAATTTCACAAACAATACCAGAATTTAAATTATATTAACATAAATCAGGCAAAGCCATAGTCCTACTGATCCCTGTGGATTTCAGTTCCCAGATCAGAGGTGTTTCAGTTCCGCCTGCCTGTATTTTAGAAACTGCGGAGAGAGCACAGACCCTTGTAAAACGGCCCATCCTGGCAGTGCAGAACTGCGACTGGTGTATTTTATTTCCTCTCCATGAAAAGCTCCAGGAATTTGACTCCCTCAGGCAGAAGCAGGGCTCCCTCTCACAAACAGAGCATCTTTCAGCCAGTCCCAACTGGGCTGCACTACCTTCACTTGAATTCTCATTTGGAAACATCTTCCTCCCCGAGTCTGAGATGTGCAGCTTGTGGGGTCAGTCTGTGCCTCTGAGGAGGATCAGGGCGACAGGGGGGCAGGGGGACAGGGGGGCAGGCAGTGTCACACGACCCCACACCAGTGCACAGGCCTCCACCAGGGCATCCTGGGAAGGGGACTTCCAGGTTTCATGTTTAAGAAGGCTGTTATTATTCACCCACACTGTCTGTAACTGCATCAGCAGGGGGGCCGGAGCCTATCCCAGCAAGCACCAGGGGCGAGGCAGGGCAAACCCTGGGTGGGACACCAGTCCATCACAGGACACACACCCACACACCAGGGCCAGGTAAAATACCAGCAGGTCTCTGGACTCTGAACAAGGGGAGAATATACAAGCTTCCTGTAGACAGCACTGTGGGTCCGGAACTGGACCCAGGTCCCCAGCACCACAAGGCAGCAATGCTCACCAGTGTGCAAGTGTAAACCCAATTAATAAAGAACCACTTATCAGAAGAGTCCAAGGAAACTGTCCCCGTACTTCACCAGAGGCTCATTCAATGCCGACCCGGAAATGTACACCTCTGTCAGCCTTCATGGCGGCGGAACAGCGCCACACTGCGGAGGACTCGGAGCACACAGGCGGCCAGGCGTCCGCACGACGCACAGATGTATGCAAGGGGGGGATTTAACGGGATGTAATCTACCTATTGGTCAGTCACTACGAGAAAATGAAATATCAGTAGTATTGTTGTGGCTCTGAACGTCTTAGTGAGTGAAGCAGGAAAGTAACCTACTGGCAGAAAGAGAGGCGTCTCTTCTGAAGCTTTGCAATCGCAGCCCGGCGCTTGAAGTTCTCCTGACTGCAGCGCTGGAGAGCTGTCGAGCCAGGAAACACGCAACGATGAGATCTATCGTAGCGCGGCCTGCAGGTAGACGGGCTCGCTGCCTTTAATCCGGCAAACCAGCACTTCGTTCCGAACCAAGTGTCGGGAATGCAGTTATCCAGGCAGCCGGTCTGTTACAGACCTGTGCACTAACCCAGCGGCAGCGCATCACTTGTCCTGGGGCCGCAAACCCAGAGAAATGGTCAGACACGCGCTACTGTCCGTCAAGCACGTTCACGTTAATCCGACACGGATTAAATTGGGAAGATGTAAAATCGGTCGTGTTATCGCAACGGTAAAAACCCATTCGACCTACTTCTGCAAATGAGCAACGCAAACCGCATGAATGTATAATGGTCCTGTGCCCTGCGCTCCTCACTAGGAAAGACGGATTTTCCGAATTTGGCAGAGAGTGTTAACAAACCGCTTCACTGCACAGTCAGTGCGGCAGAAGACAGACCGCAGTCCGGGTGCCCACTGCTGTGATCCAGTTTTCCCAAATCAAACACCCGCATTCCTCAAATCCCTGCCGTATCCGCACAATGGACACCAGGTCCCGCAGCGCTGCGGGCGGCGCCTCAGATCTTACCCAGGCGTGCGGTCAGTGCGGGTGCGGCCGGCGGACCTCCGGGTCTCTGTCTGCTCCGGACGAGCCTAATTCCCGATTCACATTGTTGTGAGCCGCGGCTCGGCGGCTCCAGCCATTCCTGCACAGTGGGATCAATGGGCGACGTGGCCTCCAATCAGCGGCGCCGGTGCCGAAGGTCAGCCAATAGCGGAGAGAGCTGTGGGGCGGCAGCCAATCGGGACCCAGGAACCAGAGCGGTGGCCAATCGAAAATCAGGAAAGGAGCAGAAGGGTGCAACCTACCTGACCAGGTCAGCCAATCAGCGCCGCAAAGCGAAAAGCAGAAGGAATGCGAAAACTAGCTCCGTCTCCCACAGGCTGGACAACCTCCTTCGCTAGTTTAATCTGCCATGAGCTGTGTTTTTTAATATCTAAAGTACAGTATATCAGTGTTGGTTAGCCGTGACATCTACAGAACCTCTTGATCTACAATCTGCATCTACAGAACAGGAGGCTCTTCTTTACACAAAGGGCTGTGGGGGTCTGGAACAAGCTGAAGCACTTTCTTTCAAGAAACAGCTGGATGAGATCCTTGGTTCAATTAACTCTGCATGAATTCGTTTGTATTTTAATTTGCATTAATTATGAACTGCAGTGTGACGGGACAAATGACCACCTTTCATTTGTAGGTTTTTGATGTCCAGCCCTTGTCCTGGAGGACCGGTGTCTCTGCAGGTACTCTACTCCTCCTCAGCCTTTACCAGCCAGAAGTTTCAAAGTGTTCGACACACAGCGGGCGGCCCAGGGAAGCAGCAGTATTGGGAACAAGGTGTATTATACACTGTGTGGTAAGAGAAGGAGAGATGCCCTGCACAGCATTCCCCAGTTATCTGTGGACAATTAACTCCCGCACACTGTCCCTCGATTGTCAGGGCACGTGGAAAAAGGCATTATGGGACACTGCTTGTGAACAGCTGAGCTGCCTGACCGTTTCTTCCCTTTCGGGACTCCTGACGTGAGCTGGGCAAGATGCGAGTGGTCAGCACTGATGTCTCACTGCGCCGGGGCCCTGGGTTCCATTCCTGGGGTGCTGTCTGCGTGGAGTTTGCATGCTCTCCCCGTGTTTGTGTGGGTTTCCTCTGAGTGCTCTGGTTTCCTCCCACAGTCCCCAAACATGCTTGTAGGACAACTGGTTTCCTTGAAATTGTCGCCGGTGAGAGTCTGTGCGTGTTTGTGTCTGGACGGGTGTCCTGTCCAGGGTGTATCCTGCCTTGTGCCTGTTGCTTACTGGGATAGGCTCCAGCTCCCCAGGACCCTATTCTGGATAAAGGATGTTTAGGAAATGGGTGGATGGAAGAAGGGTTCAGTGGTCATTCAGAGTCAGGCTTCTGTTTCTGCTTCGCACGTGTCCTCAGCACCGTGAAGAAAAGGTATAAGAATAGTGCCAGTCTGAGGCCCTGTAGTCACGTGTGTCACTAGCAGTTTCACAGGTCTGGGATCCTTCGTCCCACACAGGCAGTTAGAATCACCAGAACCACCAGCGCAGGACACAGGCAGGTTCTGGGCTCAGGTGGATCCAGAAGAGAGGAGTCTTAGTTTCTTCTGAAGATGGCGAACACATCTACATCCAGTAGATGGATGCCGTTCCTTCAGCAAATCACCCCTACTGGCTACTTGGACATACAGTTTTCACTGTATTCGGCATACTGCACTGCTTGGACATAATGTCTTGCATACACCCTGGACACATCGCATTTCTATTTATATAAGAGTGTTTGGGGTTCGACGGGAAATAATGCTCCTCTTTTACCGTGCTGTAATCGAGAGCATTATCAGGTATGGTATTACAGTGCTGTTTGGTCATCTATCAGTTCATTTAAAATCGCAAATTACCGCCTCTTCCAGA